CTCCAGGTTAGTCCCGTTCCTCGAAGTCCAGGTACTAACGGGGGTCCCCAGGACCGGGCCCTTCTCCCGGTTTCCTGAGTCCTCCCATTGGAGCCCTGCAGCTCCGGGTCTGCCCCGGAGGAAGCCCCTCTCCCATCACAGGCTTGACTCGGTGGCCGCCAGGACTGAGCACCAGCAGATGCCTCATTCTCCAAGCCTTTCTAATGCGCTAGTGCCGCCTGGACATTTCGTACTGCCATTTCGATAGATGGGTCCCTAGGCTACTGCTTTCTTAAACCCCCCTCTCCTGTGTCCAGTGTGACCGCAGAGCAGCGCATTCCCCCAGGCCCGTGGTGGTGACCACCAGCACGGTTAGGTGTCATTGTCTTCATCTTGTCCCATTGCTCCCACTCCACCTGCTCTTTGCCGAAGCTCCTAATACCTTATGGGTTAAACGTTACTGCCGCCCGCTCAGGGAAGCGCTCGCATGCCGGGGTGGGCAGCTGCAGGCACGGAAAGCAGCGGCTCCGCACACGCGACGCGCTCAGCGCAGCGCCCGGCTGCGGGCTGAGCTCATGTCTCGTCCCTGCGGGGCCAAGGCAGCGCGCTTGCCGGTGCAGCAAATAAGTAAAACATGATGCAGTCTTGCAAAGAGTCTTCAAGTAATTGGTGTCTACAACATGTCTTTAGCATAGTTGTGAATTTCCTGCTGTTGCCCAATTTGGATCCATTACGCTATTGGAGTTTTCATTTCTGGACACAGATTTATTCTGTTCTGGCTGGAAGAAGCTTCCATGTAATACAAGCAGATGTGTTAAAGCCTGCCAGAAATAATTCTTCTCCCCTGACATCAAGAATTAATCCTCCAGCTATTTTATGCTACTTTAAATGTGCTGTATCTCAAGATCACACCAAAACTAGGCATCTAATATAGGTCTGGAAAATTATTTTCATTCTTAAATCTCTCTTGCGCTTTTTCTGTCTAGCGCATTGTCTCCCTTTTTGATGCCTGACTCCTGATTACATTAATGAGAGTTGGGTGACTGTGCGAACAGCATCATACCTGAGATTGTTTGAGATCTGACTCATATTTTCTGACTGTATGATGATTTTAAGAACTACGGAGCTTGGTTACCTCCTCTTCAGGTGTAACCGTTAACACCACATTCATCTCTGTGTTAAAGCACGGGTGTCTGAGCTGCAGTTGCTGGAGATAGATAGTTGAAAACCAGTATTTATGCATCTTACTTGCCGCTGTGGATGCAACTCGTATAAAACTTGAACTCCACAAAGGTTTTAGCCCCAGACATCAGGTAGCACACGTTCAGTTGCTCAACTAGACATTGTCAGAAACAAATCACGTCAAATCACCTCCATTCTACTAAAAAATAGCTTAAGAAGGCAGCAGTTTCTAAACTCTCTAGGTCCTGGTCTGCTGTCCACACTTGAAGTTTCTTTTAGGCTACAATGCACCTTTGCCATCAAACCTTAAAAAGAGATGTAAGGGAGATTTGGTTCTGGGACCTGCAGAGCTTAACGTTTGCAAAGTACCACTGCTCTGTGGATCACAAGGGTGAGAAGTTTTCCATGGAGAGCAAGGCTGCTCATCTAGTGGCCTTTAGTTTATTAGTAGATGACTGTAAAAACTAGGACAGTCGTCTACTGAATCAGTGTAATTCATCTTCCTTTTAGTTGTCTGATTCCCTACTTAATTTGAGTTCCCTGAGGCTCCATTATAATTAGTGCACAGAAATAAGCCTGTCTGGAGGGCAACTCTTCTCTCGTATCTTAGACATCTCACCTTAGGATGAGGTGAATCATCCTTTGGTATTGTCTGTTTCACTCCATTAGCTGTAAGGTAAAGCTGGTACGGATTTAGACTACCCATTTTAAAATTACTGGAAATGAATCAATGCTCCATGTAGAGAAGGTCCTGTCCTGTCAATGAGCTATCACACAGCATTTGGTGTTTCTGTAGCCAACATGACAAATATTCAGGGGGTTATAGCTTGTAGTTGCTGGTAGTAGCCATGAGGACCAGCTGAGATAGCTGCGTTCTGCTACAGCTGGTTAGCCTGGAGCAACAACTGTAGAGAGGTGAGCAGGGCGGGTGGACTAGATGATCTCTAGAGGTCCCTTCCAACTTCAACCATTCTGTGATTCTGAGATTTTGTTTAATGTAGTAAGGCAAGGAAAGGCAGAAAGGGAAGAGCTAAATATTAGCTCTACGCTGCCCATTCAGTCCATACGCAGTGGATTTGCTGTAGATGCACAGCCCTTCCTGTCACATACATTCACCTCTAGTGCTCAATAAAATTGAGTGCAGTTTGTAATGGAAGAACTTTTATCAGGTGTTTCTCTGTTTAAAGAAAAAAAAAAGATGAAAAATAGGAAGTTTTCTTCATCTTTTGCACCTAAACTTAGACACAAAAAAAGGCACCTGTCTGTTTAATCTGCTTGTCATGCAAAACTAAAGCACCTGTTTTTTATTTTCTTCCCAAAAGAAATCAGACAGTGATGCCTCTTGTGTGGGAACGAGCAATGGAGCTAACTGCTATCCTTGTTATAAAGATACCTAATGGCATTCAGATCCAGACATGCATATTTGCCCAGAGCTTATTAGGGCTCCAGTCTTCTTGTAGAAGATACCATATCTTTTTTTCTACTATATCTTTGATGCAGGACTGGGCTGCCCTGGTAGAACTGTCGGTTCCTTGGTAAAACTGGCAGGTAGACTGTGTCAAAAAATGATTCAGCCCAGTCTTAGAAGGTTTGACTCCTGGCAAGTAAAGCCACAGAAGTTCTTACTTAAGGACGTTAGGAACCATTTAACAAAATCATTTTTTTTCACACAGGTAAACCACTCAATGTCTCCCTACTAAGCGGTTTTGGACCTGTGTGGGTAAAGGCCTCAACGTGCAGCTCCTGTAGGGGGGCACAGGCTCCTGTTTGCGAGCAGGCAAGGTGGAGGCCCCGGGGAGCGCGGCCACAGCAGCCCGGAGCTGAGCACGGACTCGGTGACCGCTCATTTCTCCAGGTCCCGGCGGGTTGTGCAGCCCATCAGTGTTGATATCAATGGTCACCGGAGTATCCTGAGAGCTGGTAAATGGCCAGAAGCCAAAATGTAAGTAAAACTCAAAAAAACAAACAAACAAACAATAAAAAAAAAGACTTCTTTTGCTTATCCAATGCTTTACATTACAGCTGAACACTCCTGTATGAAACATTTCTTGGTATGATAACACAATAGCCCTAAGGATTGGTTTGGTTTCTATTGCTGACACAGAGAAACAGCGTATTCTATTTCTGCTGAGCAACCACGGATACATAAAATCTCATATATCTGTGATGCACAAACTGTGCACGCCGTAGGCATAAGATGTGTTTAGAGAAGAGTACATCTGATGCTCACCAAGCCGATCTGCGTTTGTGTATTAATTTTCACACATTCATGTAATACCACCAAATAACAAAATTTAAAGAAAGGGTGCATGCAGAAGGGCTATTTTATAGCAGATAGGATGGTAATCACCATAAGGAAAAATATGTCATAAGGATTTCTCCATTGGTGGGCTGCACAGTTTTATGCACCAGAGACAGATCGATCCTACTGTTCTTTTAAGATTTTTTTCAGGAGGTACTACAAAGGAACCCCTGAAATACCAGACTTTTATCACCCTCTCAAATAAGTTGAAGGCATTAGATAAGGCTAAAAGATAAGAAACATACAACTTTGACTTAGATGCACAAGAGAGAAAATATGCACATAATCTCATAAATCACCAAAAAAACTATAATAAAAAGGATGAGTTTGAAAAAGAGAATTAAAGCCAATCTGTTTTTCTGTTTGCAATGCTATGAAATTATCCACTCAACATGACGAGAGAATTAGTCATGTGTAACTACAGGCCAAGAGCAGCCTCCTCACTGGGGTGGCCGGGGTACATGGGGCCGGCAGCGCCGCGTGGATCCACCCGGCACAGGTTTGGGATGTGCCCGAGTGGCACCAGCAGCGCTCGTGGGTTCAGCAATGCAGGTGCAGTTTCACTTCACTGATGGTGTTGTGTGCTTCGTGTGCTTCACAGGCTGCTCTTAGCAACGTGGAAGAAAAGTTGTTTCATTTGCAAAGCTTGGCTCTACTAGGAGTAATCCTCCTCCTCCGTGAACACAGTCTGTGTTACCTAACTCTCCAGCAAATAAAACTCTTTAGAAAGAAAACATTTTTTTTTAAGAAAAGTGTTTAGTGTAGACTGATAGGCTTGTTCTGTAACATTAAATGCTGGCAAAAAAAATCCCCAAAAAAACAACTACACACAGAAGACAACGTTTGTAATTTGCTCTGCTAGGCATGAGTTAATATACTTACAGGGTAACATTTAAGATGACGCTGATGCTCAGAAACCCATGAACTTTCTCTAGTCAGAGGTACTAGAAAATTGAAATTCTGAAACACTTTGATCAAGCAGTACCCGCTTTCTTGGATTTAGAACCCTTTCTGTTACAGGTATTTAGGCATATAGATATACAGATTTCAGTGGAAATTAGGTAGTTAGGTGCTTTATGAAACATCCTTTAGAGCCTCATCTGAATCTTTCAATGCTAAAATACCCTGTAAAATCAACTTTCCAGTGAGTTCCCAGAGTGATTTCATCTCCCCCAGGACTTTTCCTCTTACTTCTGGGTGTACTGGCTCATCTTGCAGGTTGGGACACACATTAATGATCATGTGGTTATGCCTGAAATATAATAATATGCATGACAGGAGAACCTGCAGCTCTACTGTCACTGCCTGTTTTGCTGGAAGGGGAAAAAAATCCCTTTGTGCACCTTTGGAGGTCACGCTGTGAATGACTAACCACCTTTATAGAGGAGTTTATGGAGCTTGGCCAAAGCACTCCAAGTGCTTTAGGTCATATGTCCACATCATTAAATTTCAAATTGAGCCACACAGTAGATCTTCCCTTGCCCAGGAAATTTTTAGATCCTTTAAACTATTCCAGCATATATATATATATATATATATGTACATATATATACACACACATATACTTATTTTTTCCCTTCCATTAGCCTCCAAGAGCGGATGAAGAATGTTTCTGAGAGGTCAGCAGCTTGACATGCCTTTAAGGAAAGTGCCATGTTCAAATAAGTATAAGTGAGAGCGAGCAGAAAATCAACTAATCCTGAAAACCTTGAGCTAGCTCTCAAGCAGCAGACAGATCTGGCAGAGGACACCCGCATTTGTGCAAGAAGGGACAGATTCTACACTCTGCTCTGGAAAACCTCTCTCTGCAGTGGGAAGGGAGCACATGCTGGAACGTGGAGCTGTGACAGGATGCACCCGAACCTCCCCGTGCTCTAACACCGAGACTCCTCCTACCACAAAACGCGTATCTATGTTGTAGGTGTTATATCTGCATGAATCATCCATGATCTCATTACCATCAGTGGCATAAGGTAAATATTTAAGAGTAGTGGGAAGAATCCATCTCAAAGAATACCTTTTGCTACCCACTCAGGTTTTGGAATGGCAGAATCCCATTCTATGGGCAGTAGATCATGCGGATATGTTTTAAGTAACATTAGCATCAAGAAACCAAGCAGGGAAAAGGAAGTTCCATTCTCCATGTGAGGAAGAACTTCTTTCCTGTGAGGGTGACAGAGCCCTGGAACAGGCTGCCCAGAGAGGTTGTGGAGTCTCCTTCTCTGGAGATCTTCCAAATCCACCTGGATGCCACCCTGTGCCACATGCTCTAGGTGTCCCTGCTGGAGCAGGGGGGTTGGACTAGATGATCTCTAGAGGTCCCTTCCAACCTCAACCATTCTGTGATTCTGTGAAAGCCTGTGCTGTAAAGACAGTCACAGTCCACTCCCAGGCAGTTCAACACCCTTCCTTTCTCCCTGCGTCCCTGCCAGGGATCCGAGGCGCGCGGCCTTGTCCGGCCTGCTCCACAGGAGCGGCCTGCGCACGCGTCGGGCCCAGCGCCCCGTTGCAGCCCCCTCCTGCTGGTGTCAACCTGCCGCTTTGCTGCTGTGGCCAGCTTCACTGGCAGGTCACCCGGGAGGAGGCACAATCTAAAGGGCTTCAACACCAGGAACAACCTTAATCCGGATTCTTCCACAGGCCAACGAGGCTTCAAATCACGCAAACGATACTCGGCTCAACTTCTTCTGAGAGACAGATTAATATTAACCTACCTTCTTAACAGGGCCATTTTTATGTGAACTACTGTTCTGAGTATATATAAAGCATTCAGAAAATGCTGCTGTCAGCTACATGGCGTCACTTGTTGCAATACACATTAACCCTTTGTAGGCCTCCATGAATTGCACCTTTTAAACTGCAGATTTTTTTTTTCTCACCTCCAAATGCCCTCCGCAAAGAGTAATTGTTCTGTATGTGATTACAGAATCAAACTGGACAGGGAGGGATGAGCGCAGATAAGCACACAACTGCAGTTTCGATTCTTCCTAGAAGGGGCAGCTGCAACTTCCAGGACTCGCCCTCCCATCCCTAAATGAGCTGTAATTCCCAGTGGGACAAAATCCACCTTCATGTATATGAAAATACAGTATCCCACACTCATGCAACTTAATTTTGTTGTGTATATTGGCTACTGTAGCAATAAAAATGGCATGGAAACACAAGAAAACATCAATAATCTTCAGAAAAAAATAATTTAGGTCAATGTTTTTCAAAGCAATAAATAAATGTGCTCTAAAAAACAAGAACAAAAAGAAAGGCTTTAATAACAATTCATTTTATCAAACAGTTGTCAATAGCTCTTCTTGTTTATTTATGGGAGTGCCAGTAACACACAAGATGAACACAAGTCTCATGATAGAATGTAAACACTGTATATATCTGTTGGGCAGATTAATGATTCTGAATTTCCAGTTAGCATCTGAAAATTGCTTTCCTCTGTTAATGTTCTTCCTTTGCCATGCTCATTTTGAACATTAATGGATCTCATTTTTTATCTTTTTTTTTTCCCTTGTAGGCAGCACATTAGGAAGTTTGCTGTGTAGTCACTATTTGGGTCCATTACTACAGTGGCCAAGTTATAAGAGCCGGCACAATTTTCAAAAATTGCTTTTTTTTTTTTTTTTTTAATTAGATCCCAGGAACTCTAAATTAAAAAAAAAAATCACGTCTTTGTTCTAACCACAAACCTCATTTTCCCTTTCACAAATCCATTAAAAAAACACTTGTTAATGCATGCCATAAATTGTAGCCTTCTTGTTAAAATGATGACCCAATAAATTTATTTTGGAGTTAATTTTTTATCATAGTTTTTTTTATTAAACATTTTTCTCAGTTTATAGTTTGGATATAAATACACAAGTTTTATGGCTCACATTATAAAAGACTAGTATTTATTAGAAAACATATATGGAATATATTGTAATGCTTACATTTGTTCCCCTTTTCTCCTAATTTTTCCATAAATTCTATTAGTCTAGGAAAGCAGCATCAGAAAGCAAAATCCAACCTACCGAGCAGCACAGTCTACGGCAGCTATAAAGTATTTCTGGTCTGTGTTTGTTTTCAGAGTAAGGTAATGTCAGTTAGTGTTAGAAAACAAACATTGCATGTTATGTTCGGTTAGTTACTAGAAATCTAGTTCATGACCCTGTTTATTTCTATAACAAAACATAGCGCTTCTCTTCCTTTACAGCTTATATAGACATAGTGTTTATTTTCAAAATAGCATAATGTAAATAAGGGCCCTGGTTCTGTTCTAACTGAAGTCAGTGGCAGAACTCTGATGGGCTTTGCATTTGGTTTCCATCATTTTATTGATAAAACTGAAAAAAATACATTGCAGCTGGAAGATAGGGTGAATTTCACTTACAAGTTTCAAACTATCTGGCAGATCCTGTAACAATTCTGTGCATGGGTTTACAGGTGAATACATGGTGGACTTGGTGATAAAGGTCCATGAGAAGCAGACGTGCTAGAATCCTTCAGCCCGCAAAGCAAGGAAAGGGAGTTTCACAATGAAGGAGCACGCAGACCCAAACCTGTAAGCTTTTTACTATAGTGAAGGAAAAGGATATTAGATTTATATACGCTTTTTAAACAGAAAAATCTCTTCAGTATTTTTTCAGTATACATACATTAAACTGTACAGCTTAGTACTTCCACATAGTGGGCAAAGAGCAACTCCCAGGGCCATAGCTATGGAAGAGCATGGAAAATGCAGCTCCCCTTGACCTGCAAGACCAGGCAAGATCAGCCGCTAGGCCAGGATGAAGAGGAAAGGCTGATAAAATGTTATCAGCAGACCGGTTCAGGGGCATTCTACTTTTTTTACTTCTTTTTTTTTTTTTTTCCTCTCACCAGGACTTATGCACTAAACCAACAATGACAACACCCTGCTCAAGTTGTGAGATACACAAAGACAGAATAAAAGCAGTAACAAGGACCCTCAACCTACAATCCAATCGATCCAATCCATAACAGAAGTCCTTCACTGAAATCCAGGCTGTCTAGTATGGGTCAAGAATCCTCCTGTTGAGATCTGGATACAGCCCAAACTCCGAACAAATTAATTTGCAGTCTCCAGTTTACCATGAAATGCAACATGCTGGGAAACATGGTGCTTATGGAAAATGCTGATTCAAACTTCACATATTGAAACAAAACATGGTGAAATCAACGCATTCATATTAGAAATCAGAAACATAATTTGAGAGTATTCCACTCCCTTACTGGAATAAAAGGAATTGGAATGTGATCAAAAGTTACAATTAATTCTAGTGCAATTTCTAGTGCAAACACCTGACATTTGCTCATATATAGGATATATTTCATTTATTTTTACTGAACTGGTCATCAGTATCACAGATCTTAACACATCCAAATGAAAGTTAATAGTCCTAGATTTTCTGTATCTTTCAGTCTATTGACAAAGGAAGAAGACATCCATGGTGAATCTGTTCAACCTGCCATTTGAATGAAATATGCATTTTGATTGGAAAAGGTTCAAATTTACCATTTTCAGTAATGTTTGAACTGAAGGCTTTGCCTGATATTTCACATGCACAGAGACAGAAAAATCCTAGCACAAAACACAATTTTAGCAGTAACACCAAGTGCAAAGCTCCTTTCTGGAATGTGTTCGTTCATTAAGAAAAACTGATCAGGATGCCACTTAGATGCCGCTTGGAATTCAGCCCTCTGTCACCTTGCCCCACTGAGTGAAGAAGTGCAAGAAGAAACTGTGCCTGGTATTGTCACAAAGTCCACTTACAGGGTGATATTTTTCTGCATTTTGGGGTGAAAAGAGGTGACTGCTGCTCAGTCTGACAGACACCTGCTGTCTGCTCAGTGACATGAAGCGAAAAGTGTTTCCAGAGGCCACAGCACAGCCCGACTGACACGAGCACCCGCGCTGGCTACCTGCACTCCCTGTGGGCACTGCAATGTCACTGCATTTCTAATGCACTGGACTGCCACGCACTTCTTCATATTACACCTGCTTGGCTTCTGCGAACTGCACGTGCACATTGCTTACAAATGGCATAGAGTCTGCGCCTAGTTTTGATCCTAGGTGCACCCCTCATTGCCAGAAAGAGGTGTTAGTAGCACTAGAATAGGCAACTGCTCTACAGCTGTATTTTCTATTTAGCCTAGGCCGCAATGTCCTCGAGCTCTCTCTCTATGGTGAAGGTGTCACCGACACATTGCACCTACCAGAAGAAAAAATTAATGCACTTTTTATCCTGCAAAAATTTTCAATAATACTGAGGATTAGAAATAGAACATCTATTTTCTATGTCAAAATATACAATTATCAATCAGTTACTAGAACTGGATTTGAATGTTGCTTGGGTTTTTTTTTGTCTAGACCAAACTCAGACCTGTAGAATTATGTTATGAACTATTATAGAGATTACCAAATTAATATTAGCTTGTATTAGAATATTTACTATTTTAAAATATTTGCTACTCTGTTAAAATCTACAATCCATGCAATATATCACACTGGAAAAAGAAACAGCTGATTTACATGAGCAAAAATCAGCATGCACCATGGCATGTGTTCCTTGCCTTCCGTAAGTGCTATAGAAGATAATGATGGTATTTATAAATGGGCATATAAATAAGATAGATATTCTTAAACCATTTAAAAGGGTCTAACAAGTCTTTTATGTTTTAAGTAGCAAAGACAGGGTCAACAGCTAAATGTTTTCCAATAACCTAATACTGCAGAATGTTCTAAATGTAAGAAAACTGTCTTGCAGCCTTTAATTGGGTGATCAAATACCAATGAATTCACTCCCATGTACAAAGGCTACCAGCTTGTGTGCTAATCTGGCATTTGCTGGAAAAGATATAATCCTTTTTTAATATGACAAAGTACCTTGGATTTAATTCACTCAGATATTTAATAGTGGGATTTGCCAAACCATCACTGAAGACACTAGTTCATCTTGTCGCTGCTGTTTGGTCTTCTTGTTCACCCTTCTGTGTCCTTGACCACCAGAAATGACTAATACCGAACTTGCTCTCATTTTCTTGGATCTCTGTCTTTTACTTCTAAGTGAGATATTTTGATCCTTCAAAAGCTCGTAAATGTTGCTGTCCTCGGGCCTGTGTTCTAGGGAACTCGATCCGTGGGACAAAGTCAGGGATCCGGAAGATGACGACAAGTCACTTTTCTGTGTAATGGATCCTGCTGAGCCCCCCAGCCAAACTGCAGCGTTGCTCAGGGAAGAACCTGGTCGCTCGTTGTGCAGAACGGGCTTTTGCTCCTCCTCTTTGGACTCGGAGCTAGGAGGCCGACTGCTCCTCGACTTGTGCTTGTTTTTCTTGCTTACACCTGCAGCCATTACAAGAAACTTGACTGGGCCGTTATGTGCATGATATGACACCATTCCTCTTCCTGGACAGGGGAAAAGGGACAATTAAAGAACATTAAGGGGGGTTCTTTTGTTTTAAACCAAAGAATCCCAGCACAATCAGTTCCGAATAGGTCTTAAAACCACTTTGTATGCATTCATTCTGGTTTTAGCCCCATGGGTACAAAATCTACAGGAAAAAAAAATGTAACAAACAAATATAATATGTCATAAAGGTATTTTAGGACTATATTAATATCAGTTAAAGCAGAATCCTCTGAGTTCAAGTTGACTTACTTTTGTGCTCTGTTTTCACAACAGCACGAGTACAGAAACTCTTCACTATCTTCTTTTTATTGGCACTGTCACAAGCATAACAACATTGCAAGTTTTCTCCAATAATCCACAAAGTATCTGTTTTTCAATTAATTCTACCGTACCTTTCCAGGAGAGCACGAGAACATCTATTTCATTGTAACAGATTTTTCCACACTGTAAAGCAGGAAATAAATCTCATCCTTACAAATGATTGTCTGGTTACCATGGGAGATTCATAAGGAAATGAGTGAGTAATTGCAATTTACATTTTTACAGAATGTAAACAGTGGGACGTTGGAGGTATAGGGAAGTTTTATACTGCGCAAATTGTAAGACTGTATGAGAAATGCATTGCCTAGGGCCAAATTCAGAAACTATGACATTATATGTGCTTTATTAAAGCAAAAAGAAAAAGAAAAAAAACTAGCACTCTTTCAAGTAAGCTAGAGTATGAAAAAGAGTTAGGCTATTGAGAGAAAAAAAATAGCCCTACGAATTACACCATCCATTCCGAAATTCCTAATGCATTCTAGTTTGTGATAAAAATTACTAACAGAAAGTACAATGATATAAAGATAAATTATCACTATTAGAAATACAAATGGAAAAAGTTATGATTTTTCAGTTCAAATTACAAATACTTGAGATTTATGAAGACAGATCTCCAAATGTAATGCTGCTGAATTTGACAGATCTTGATCCAAAACCAATGTTAGGAATATACAGGGGAGACAAACCACAATAAACAAAGCAGAAGACATTTTGATTGTGCAACTACACATTTTCTTATACTGCATCTATTTGAATAGATTTTTCCTAACACAGGTTCCACAGATTCCATGCTTTTTTCAGGAACATTTATCCATTGTCATACTGGACTATTGCTGCCTATTTTGCTGAACATAGCAGATTTAGTTTTCATTTTGGCAAACTCCCTTCTTATTTTTTTTCTTTCCTGAAGGAAGTTGCAGACTGCTTGCCTTATAACACCTGCCAGCTTCTCTGCAGCTCAGCAGCTCTGGCAGAATTCTCAGCCCAAAACGCAGCTTGGCAAAGGTCCCATTAAACACACTTTTAAACACTTGCTTCTGTTGGTAGTTAAAACACTTGCAAAACGATCCAGCAGCATTCGTGTGTTTGCATTTGAAATGGTGTAATGTGAAAATAACCCTCAAAACCATCTTTCCAAAATGCAAAAATATTGATCATTGTCAAAAAAAAAAACTGAAATACACACTGTCATAAATTCCAGGTCCACAGTATTGGGCAGAAGGGGCAGAAAATCGACTTACTGAATAAACAGTCAGAGAACATACTGAATTTTCAGTGCCTATGTCTCCTAATGCACATGTTTTCCCCAAACCTGAAGAAGGACTTTTTGGACTTTATCCCCATTCTCACACCTTATACTCTCTCCTGGCAGGACTGAGGTCTAAGCTATTTTTTGCTTCCTAAAGAATAATCATTGTTCTGCATCAAACAACTGGGGCAAAACTAGAGAAGCATCTGGATATAGCGTAAACCTGAGGAACGACAAAAAAAAATTCACCACAATGCTGTGACATACATCTAAACAGCACTTAGAATTTTGTTGATTCACTTAGGCTACTGACAGAAGAGAAAGTCTCCAGTATAAAACCGTTCTAGACACTGCGCTTGAGCAACTTCACTCACCAGTTACTTTGGGAATGCCCTGCAGGCGAGGCACGGGCAAGGCTACGATGATTCCCAGGTTGGTTCCGATCAGGAGCAAGCCGTGGCACACCAGGAGGCTGGTCACCGAAACCCGCTGCTGCCCTGCGGAGACGTGCAAGGGCTAAGTTACTTTGGAGTGACTCTCTCTGCCCGGATCAGAGTAACCTCTGGCAAAAGGAATCAGCTGCGAATGGTTACACTGTCACTGCCTGATTCAGCAAAAAGCTTAGAAGAAATGCAAATGCATTGCTGGGCTGTGGCATTAAACTTTACCTGCATGAAAGTTTAAATACTACTACACTTGTGGATTAATTTGTTCTGAGATCTCTAAACCACAGTATCTAAAACTAAAAATACATTATCTTTACAAATACACTTTTACAAATAGAAAATGTTTTTATATTCTCAAGAATAACACTGAAACATTTCATTTCACAATATTCATTAGTATGCTATAGGAACACGCTACGTTCGAGAGTCAAACCTGTTCAAAGTTAATTTTCTCAGTGACAAGATAAAAGGAAACAGGAAACATTCTTCTTCTGCAGGAGGTTGGTCAGACACTGGAACAGGTTGTTCACAGAGGCTGTGGAACCTTTGTTGTTGGAAATATTCAGAACTTGGCTGGACAAGTCCTTGAGCAACCTGATCTACTTGGGTCTGATTCTAGCAGAAGGATGGATGGGATGATGTCCAGAAGACCTTCCCAAACAAAACTATTGTATGATTGTATCATTTTCTGCAAGTTACTATTTATGGGATTGCTGTTTTCCTTATGGAAAACAAAGTCATCTTCGCTTACAACAGGAGATTAAAAATGATTTTTCAAAATTTACAACTTTGACGAAATTGAAATTTTGACAAATTTCAAAACCTGACAAGCTTGGGAATAGAAAAGGAAATTACTTACTGTCCAGCCTTCTACCATGACCCAGGTTTACGTGGATGGGCATTTGAACCCTGCTGAAGTCCTCCATGCTCAAATCCTACCTGTTCTTGGAATTACTATTACTTTGACATGCTACGACAACACTGATTTCCATCTTTATTACAACAATCTAGTTGTTAAGCACCTCACCAGTAAGCAGGGAATTTGGATTCCACACACTGTGCAGCCTGGATGAACCCACGTGTTCCACACTTCGGAAAAGCACCTTACTTGCAATGTGTCACCAGCGAGTAGGTTTTCCATCTCTCCCCTTGAAGCTGAGCCAACTTCCAGCCAAGAACACATGAATCACAGACCCAGGGGGAAAGGAGCTGCCAGACTGTAGCCCAAAGGCTAAAGCACTCAACCAAAAAGCAGTAGGTAGTCCAGAGTTCAAGTCTTTCCGCACAGAACTTTACAAAAACAAAATACTTATCTAGCAATGGTCTGTTCTATTGTACGATCTATTCTGTGTCTATTCTCAGGATATCCTAAAGGCAGGATGATTAGGTCACTCTCCCTGCAGATGTAATAAGTATGAATAAGTTGAACAGGCGCCATTTACTCCTACAGGTCATGAGAGACACCTACATTTTTTCAATTAACTGTGAAGGTATCGATGCTGGTAAGATTGCATGATCCTCCTGCAGCTGGTCTATATCCACTGATAAATCACAAGTCTCTAAAGGTTTGATTTTTTTATACGTGGAATTGAGTTTCCAGAATGAAGTAGACAAAAGCACTGGCTAGAAGGACAGCCCTTTGGCAGACAAAAGTGCACCTTCAGCACTGGCTAGAAGGACAGCCCTTTGGGGAAACTGAAAATTGTATATCCCGATGTAGTCTGAAGATAGAAAGCAGTAAAATGACCAAAGCTATAATTTTTTTTTAAAAGCATCAGAATCCAGAGCGATGACACAGATGGCAGCCCAAATTTACATTCAAGAGTCCAAAAAACCATGAAAAAATCGCACATTAAAAACTGCTTGTGCTGTTTCCAATACAGTGCACATAATGCAAAGTATCAGTCTCCTCAGCCATCTGCTAATGTGGACTTTTCCAGTATCTTTATAGCATTTCAAACAAAGTTCAAATCCAGATATCCAAACACCTCTCCACATGCAGGAGTTTTCAAAATCAAGATCTGAATTTTGCAATTTAGAGCATGTCAAATTATCATGATGCAGTAACATATCTCCCACAACCTGGACCACAGCAAAGGCAAAGTAAACCATTTTCAACAGCAAGATGCTTACATTTAAAAATAATAGATCTTTAATGCTTTGCCTACCTTTTTTAATGTAAGATAATATACATGCTTTCTTATACCAACCCTGAAGCAAACTCTACGTGGAAAATTGCATTATTGTTTCAAATGATCAGCCAGAAACTTAGAATTCCAAGTACAGAGGATAATCTGTGCGTGAACTATCTATAGTGAGGTCAAAAGGAAAACTGCTTGCTTTCAAAGCCTGAAAAAGCAGGAAACATCTGCAACAGAAAGCAGATTTTGAAGCAGCATCTAATAACTAAAGAATGATAAACAGATAGAAGTATCTATTAAAAAATAATATTTTTATCTGCTACCCATGATTTGATTTTTTTATTTTTTTTTTACTTCAGAGAAAACAGGAAAAATCAACTCTCCTGAATGTGCTTAAGGTTATGGGAAAATGATAAAAAACAAATGCCAAAAAGCAATCAAGCAATCAAATGTTCTCATCTTTAAATGAAAACTCTCAGAACACCCTGCACTGATGCAATGATGAAATTGTTAAACTCGTAAAACAATCTAATCAAGATCTCCACTCTATCAAGAACTGAAGCCAATGACTATGTTTATCCATGGACAAATAATTTTTGACTCCATGTTCCCCCCTTCACAGCCTCAATTTCCAACACGGGCCCATCAGGAGGATCTATGTAAATGCTTTTGTGTTCACGTGCAGGTCTTCTGAATTCAGCCCTAGGTAGGTGTAAGGGCATACTGGTATATATTCTCTTATATGATCTTGCTCACACTATTATATATATAAAACATTGTTTAAAAGAGCCAACTGTACATCTTTATTGAGGTCACCTAAACTTTTCCCCATCTTTTTTATCATCTCACAGCAGTAAAATCACAGTGCAACTGTGTTTTATGGGGTGGCAGCTGGTGGGGACAAAAGAAAACTGCAATGTTCAAAAGATATTTTGCTTTCTGCAGAGAGGAAATGATATATTTTTACTTTGCTTTTCTCATCTGTTTCCAGGAAACACACATATACCATAGGAGGATATATGGATATATACACAGAATACAGAAACAAAAACAAGAATCTTTGTTAAAACACATAACCTGTCATCATCCATAGGAGCAAAGGAATTACATATATCAAGGTCATAATCCCTTTAAAAGGATAACTCTTTTATAGCTGAAAGGAAAAATATGCTAAGTATATTTTTTTGAATAATGACATAGTGAGTGTGACTGGCAAAACAAGATTATTAATAACACAGTGGACTGTGTGCCCAGGTTTATTGTGATTTTTTTTACTCATCAGGCCATTTGAGCTGGGCCAAAGGCTGGTGCAAAGCTGCCCTTGCTGAGATTTGAACTACAGATCACAGATGCTGAGGACAACAGGGAAAATAATGCAGTGCATCAGCATTAGTGAGGCGCTTACACTGCACTGGCATTAGCGAGGTGCCATCAAATGTGAACAGATTTTTTCCTCTGCTCAATATGTCCCCTGTCCAGAAAGCAGAGAACTGCCTGAGCCGCTGAAAAGCATCCTGGCTCTGCTGTGTTTAGTGAAGTAACAGTGCCCAGCACCTGCAGCGGTGGTGTCCTTCATCTCAACCACTGCATTTGTGCTTGCTGGTGCTTCATTGGGTAACACAATCGTGTTACACGACATCAGGAAGCACTTTGTGCCGTGCAGTGTTCATGATACATGAAGAGTGGTTCTGGGGACTACTCCGGATTAAACCTCTATCGCCTCAGCGACCGAGGTTCACCCTCCAGTCCCAAGTTCCTCCACACACACTTCCTTTAATTCCACGAAGTGGGAATTTTCCCTTCATTTGAAAAATTATGTTCAGCAGACAAAAGGACCTGACAGGCACGTTTTCACCTCCCTGATGCAGCGGTGGCAGGACCAGAGCAGTTTGGAGGACCAGTTGCATTACTCACTGTACGGGGACTACACACTGCCACAGCAGAACCGCGCTCCACCAGGCTCTGCAGACACAGCTGGCAGGGGCTGTTCTGGGTTATGGGTTACATTCTGGGTTATGCATTTAGTACCAGCTCAGATCTCTCACCACGTTTATCACTGTCCTTTCTAATGCCACTTGGCTGGCATGTATGATATGAATACATCCAAAATCTGATCTACAACTGGGGATCTCCCAGTCCAGCTCTCCTGTCCTTCGCCAGGAGAAGCTTAGCCAGCCTTACTTTATAAACATGAACTATATAAATGAATTCTCTGTAAATGTGTCACAATAAACTACTCATTTTAGGAAAAATATTTTTGTTCATGTTTTGGAGGTCTGCCTGCTTTTTTACATTACTAAGCTCTGCTAATTGTAATGGCAATTAGTTCCTGTGCCATTTCCCTTATACTTCGTTCTTCTATGACTCTGTGCTACCTGGTGTGCTGCAGGTGTGCTGTTTTTGAAGAAAAACTATGATATTTAAAGACATCTTCTCCTAACAATGAATTTGTGAAAAATCTAATGTTGTGAGAACTGGTTACTATATGAGAATCCGTTACAATATTATGAAAATTGATTATTAATGTTATTAGAACTGGTTGCCACAGCTCTACTTCTTTGTAACTCACAGTGACCATTCCTGACAAAGTGACCGTAATTTTTTCTTTTATTCTCACTGCATAATAATAAAATAACTATAAGGAATAATTAGCTTCATGGAGTTATGTCTCTATCATTCATCTTTCTTTAAATGAATACTCAGGTAACATATCCAAGCAGCCAATCGACCCAATATTACACACTGTTGCTTCTACTTAAAGCTTGGCAAAAGGAGCCCAATTTCTTGGAAATTTCATCGTGATCTTGCACTATCTTCTTTCCTCTTGTTAATGCATCTTAAGACCCTTGGCAATATTTTTACACCAATTTCTTCCCTCCTCACTTCAATACAGCATAAATTTTTACTTTTCTTTTTACATGTTAAGAAACACCTGCTTTATTTCAGAAAACTAATAGAGCAGCTGCTTTTAAAATGGAAAGATCTCCTGAAGCACATACAGCACTTCTAAAGATCCCCTAAAAATCCCCACATTTTTAAAACATGGAGCCATTTACTTCCTAAAAATCCTCACATTTCTTAAATATGGAGTCATTTCTTTTTTTAAAAAAAATCTTCTTCTTAAATCTCAGTGTATACTATATATAGCTTGTCCTATTGCTGCTTTTATTTCCAAAGGCTCTTACTGCCTATTTTTTTAATGTAAGCCTCCTATTCCTCTGTCTTTAACCTTTATTGTTTTTGCAGCATTATTGCTATAGAGATGACAGAAGAGAGATAATAGAAATAGGTCCAAGAGCTGCTGCTAAATAATTTAAATTCATTTCATTTTTATAATGGATTCTTCCTCTGAAATATTTGCTGTAATGATGCTCTGCTCCTGAAAAATTTCCTTTCATTGAGACACTTTTTGTAGAGCGAAAGAAAAAAAAACCCCAAAGCAACAAATAACAAACATAAAAAAGCAACAACCAAAAAATAAGAAACTTAAATTGACAAGAATGACACTAAAGGGAAATAATCAACTAAAACTCTTAAAAAAAAAAAGAAAAATGAAAAAGATCTAATACATCAGCAGTTTTATTACTACACCAATGCACACCTAAACCAAGAATTTTTGAAGTTTTTATATGCAGAAAATGATGTATAAGGGAAGTCCTACTTTCTATAAACAGCAGAAAATAATAAGAGTTAATCTTTTTATACTAATCTTCATTTCTTTGCATAACTGGGATAAACATAAAATGACCTATTTAAAGGCAGGACATTTGCTGCTGCTTAGTGTTGAAGCTACATTCAAACAGCAAGTGCAAAATCACCATGTACAGAACATTGCAAAGATGGACATGATTTAAAATAGAGCTTTCCTGCAACGCTAATGTGGTCTGAGAGAAAACAGGGTAAGAAGACAGAGACTGAAGAAGCAATATATCCTCTGATGTAAAGAAAATAAACAAAATTGCAGTGCTGGAAGAACTGGCTTCTGCTAAAAGCAAAGTGATAGAGCTGGCACACACCTCTAGTGAGCAGGTGCATTGCACTTAAAGCCTGCTTACTGTGTAGGTCATACGAATCCAAAATCAGTTAGCTCATTTATGTATCTGCAACCAACACCTGAAATCTACAGAAAGAGAAATGAAGACAGCCCCGTTGTCCCCTCACGGACAACTTGCACACTGGGAAGCTGGTTCCTTTTTCCTGGCATTGCCACAGCTTGCACATGGGGCACTCTCTCGCTCCAAGGGCTGGGCAAAGGAGGACAGAAATGGGTGTATTTCACTCAGGGAGGTACCTGATTAACCACTTAGAGAGTCCTAGCTACTCACTAGCAAAACTGACACAGGCTGATACACACTGCCTATGACACTGATGGTTTGGGGATGGCTCAACAGCTTCCCTCTTAAAGACTTAAAGATCTGTTGCTTATCACAGATTTCATGCTTATTTATAAGCCTAATCTTGCAACTACACAAATGACAGTTCCTATCAGCAAAACATCAAACATGCGAGTGAGAAGTTCAACTGGGGCTACTGAAATAATTAAAGTTAAGCAAGCATTTTGCCAGTTTGGATCCTGGGCAAATTGACTCCTTCGTGTACTTTGACATCAAGTTCCGGAAGCAAATGCTAAATTTTGCAAAGCAAATGTGTCCCTGATAGACTGCACTGCCCTACAAAAATGCGCAGACGCAGCAGGAGAATCCACCTGCTCAGCTAGACATCGTTACACTTCTCACTCCTAGGAAGGAGAGCTGCTCACTGCACACATGGTTCTTTTCAGCAGGCAAGACTACAGTTTACCAAAATAAAGCGCTGTGAGATCACTATCAGCCTCAAGGTCCAAAACAAATGTTCTGGCTCTGGCCTACACCTACAACGCTCTGGAGAACAGCTGTGATAGAGACCAAACAACAATGTTATCATACGATGTGCTTCAGTCACCTGGCAACATATTGTGAACAGGGGTGGCAATGTTAATGTCCTGGAGGTGTTTCAGGGTCTCCGTGTGGAAGAGGCGAAGGGTAGATCCAGATGTGAAGGCGATCCAGATGCCCACACCAGCAACAGCCATGTGGGAGATCACCATCCCTTCCTCTTGGTGCGCTTCAAACTGGCTCTGTAAGAAGCACAAGGAATCTCTGAGAAGATGCAACTGAACTGCAACATCCAGCTTTTCTTATCAGCTCTCTAGTGTTGGCACCTTATCCCTACTCTTCATGTCAAATACTAGCTAGCATTTTTTAACTTGCTCATGATACGCCTTGGTTGTTGTACATGACATGTAATTTTCTTATTGTCTTTTTTTTTTTTTTTTTTGAATATGCATTGTTGTTGCTACAGAAGGATCCTTAGCTTGGGAGCAAAAGATACAACTGAGGACTAACTAGCTTCATGGTGACTTACATAGTGTATTTATAAAACATTTGTATGATGGAAACTGGCAACCTGTATTGGTTGAGACTTAAGGGACTTTTATATTTCTTTATTGATTCTCCTCTGGGAAAACTAATGCATGCAGGTAGCCTGGGAGTGGGCAGATTTTTCTAATATGTTGATTTAATCAGCAGCACAACTGTTCCAAAAATACTAAAGAGTTTTTTTTTTTTTTTTCTTCTGTACTTTGCGCTAGGGGTCATTTCAGAACAATAACAAAGTCAAAGCAACAATCATCCTTAGAAAGTAAATTGTTTATAAATATATATATATATATTATATATATAAACATTATTTTTTGCTCAGCTACACACATAATCATCTGAGACTTAATATTGTGGCTTGTTTTTTGACTCCTGTATTTCTGAATTTCATAAGTATTAGCTAGTTCATAGTCTTGCCCTTCAAAATGTAGATGCTGGTTGTGTGAAATGCCAAAATCCACCTTCTGAAGATGTGGAACAGTGTAAAAATTTAAGGACAGACCTTTTCCCTCGGTCAAATGCTTTCACAGTTGCAATTTCTGCTGGGCTCCAGGAAGGCTGAAACCTCTCTCTGCCCATGTTAAAGTGCAATAGAAAGCTGTAGTAAAGTTTTTAATCATTAACATGAAGTAGGGAAGGGTTTTTGGGTCCCCCTCCCTCCCATTTTGTAAATAAATTGCCTCTGAAGTGAAACACAGCCCTTTCAAGTCATGCCAGCTATTATTATGCATAGGCAGCTATTCTGATAAACATAAAAATTCCTTGGCTAACCCAATCACAGACTGTTCCTTGGAGGCCTGTCCTTCCCCGAGGGATACAGAAGTAAGGAGGTGCTCTAATATCCACAACACTTATTATATACTTTAAGGTATATTTGCACACAAAATGCAAAAAGTTTCCATTCCTCCTTGTTAAAAGCATCCTTATATTTTCTTTGTATTACAGTTAGAGTTACATTCTGGTCATTTTGCATCCAAATCTCAATCAATCATCTTCATGACCTACAGAGTAAGCAATTTTCTTAATCCAAGACAATTATCCATTCAAAATACATGAGATAAAGATATATGATTTAATTTCTGCAGCTAAATGCAGTAAACACATCACGATCATAGATAAAATACAGAACTTTTAACACTGCACAGACTGCAAGTTTTGATATTATATTTGAGGCATTATTTCCCATTTTACTACTGAACATTCCAAAATACTATACAAATTGGTTCTTTCACTGACAAAATGGCTGTTTAAAAATAAGGGAAAGGCTTTTACACGTCCATTTGATTGCACTATGCTTCAAGACTTCAGTTTTCAGCAAATGAACGGAGAAGCTTCTCTTTAGATATGAGATCCTCACTCAGCTTTAGTGCATGTTGCCACATTACCTTTTAACTCTTCTAATAACAGCACTGCCGACTGCAAGTGAAGCACATACATTTAGATTCTCCTCTATTCACTCTATCGGATGATCTATGCAATTTTCAAATCACACAATTTATTCAACAGAAGAATCTATTCACACACAGCATCTCTCAGAGTCAGACGCAGATCTTACTCCTAAATTTTCTGGTTTTTTTCATAGGCCATTGAAAGATTTTATGGCAAATGGGACTTTCAAAATGATAACTCTTGCTTACAGAATCATGCATGATTCTCCTCTGATGCCCAACTGGCTTTTAAAACCTTTATGGGGACTCATCTAAGGCCTCTGTGATCAGTCTGGCCAGCAGCTAATAGAATTTGGAATTAGAATTCAGTCATCTTAAAAAGTAATTTTCTCTGTCATATTCTGAATATACCAGAGATGACAAGTCTCTCAGTGCAACTGTAAACAACTTGCACATGCATTTCTGCCACATTCCATATTTACCAGCTAACTCATTACGCTCCCACTCTGTCTGGCCTGCAGTTTGTACAGCTGCCTGTTGAAATATTCTGAGACATTTAAAGAAAAAATAATCTTCTCAGCACTGCAAGAAACATTTAAAAAGAACTGTTTGTCTTCAGACAATCTTTAACACAAAAGTTCCCCAAATCAGGCCATTCTTGCACAAACACACAATTGCTGCATTGAGGATGGTTTTGACCTCTATTTCAATTACAATTCTATATGAAACCTGATAGCTGGCTTTTTTATTCAAAGTTTTTTTTTTTTTCTCTCTCATAACAAAAAAATGCAGATGCAAAGGGACAATAACATACTATTCCTTGTTATAAAAAAATACAAAAAATCTCAACTTCATTTTGCATTTTGCTTTTGGTTTTCGTAACTACGCCCCCCTCTGCCTGCTCCCAGCCTGGCTTCTCCCCCGTGCCCTGCAGTCTCAGCGGGACGGCGCGGAGCCGCGGGACGGGTTGGCGGGGGCTGCTGCTCCCGATCCCAGGCCCAAGCAGCCCTGCCAAGGAGCTCCCCGGATTTCCCAGGCTCTCCCAGAGGTGCATAATGGGCATCATTGTGCACCCGCAAAGCAAATGACTTGCACTGCTTTGAAGAGGGTACAGTGCTTGGGAAACACACACTTAAAGAATGAGTAATCCCATTTGTTTAGCCAAGCATTTCAGCTTGCTCTACTTAAACTGTTAACAACAAAGTAACTCATCTGTATTTTGCCAACTTTTAAAAACAAAGCAAAGAAGATGAGACACTGTCCACTTGGTGACTTTTATTTTGTTAAATACCCAGGGATTTTTTTTTGTTTTTAAACAAACACAGACGGCCTTTCCTGAGCCTGAGGGTCTACATGCACAGGGACCGCTGCAGGATCAAGCTCTCTACCAAGAGCAACACAACAACTACCCCGTGGAGGGTCAGGACTCGGGAGAAATTCCTTATTCACGGAAAGAGGATCAGAATATGTCACTGATGGATAACAGCAAGTGATGTACCTCTCCCGCATCCCTCGCCAAGGAGCCTGGGGCATTGTGCCAACCTGGGGGCACTGTGCCAGTAAAAGGCATTTCCTAAAGCATTATGACAGTAACATATCATTAGAACAAATGAATTGAGAGTCAAAGAGGAAAAATGGGAAAAGTCCCAAAACTAAAACGATGCTAAATCTGTTCATTTACCAATAGTATTTTTTTAAAGGTTTACCTGAGAGTATTAAGAAAGCAGGACAATATACTCTGCACTTTGCAAAATCACTAGCTAAAATGAGACCTGTAAAGCAGGGAGGGCCACACTGGGAAGACATTCACAAAGTGCTCTTGAATACGCTCAAGGCTTGCTCAAACATCGCTTTAAAGGCCACTCTGCTGCCCCTATATCTAAGTTACATGATACAAAGCATACAAAACATATGCACAATAGTACGAAGTGATGAGTAAAAAAAAAAAAAAGCAGCTGAAATTTGAAGAATATGGACAAACAAAGGAGCTCTACAAAAACCAAAGGGTAACAGTTGAGACCTAAGCAACAACTGGATTCCTGTTAAAATGGCAAAGAAGAAAATTATACAACTTTTTTTTGAATCAGTGAATCCACCTCAACGAGACAAGGCACAGAGGTAGAATAAACATTTCCTTCCTGCTGTTTCCCTGCCTATAGCAAAGCTTCTGCTTGGCACAGCAGGAAGACGCAGCTCAGATTCATTTGATTGCTAATGCTAAAATATTCCCCACAGAAAAAAATCTAATTCTTTGTATAGGATACAATTTTGAAACAATATTGCCAAGAAATGTCATATGTATATCCTGGGAGATCACATTTGTAAATATTAAACAAGGAAATTATCAAAGCACGTCAGGTAACTGAGCAGCCAGCAATAAAGCAGCTGTCAGTGAGATGCTCAGTCAGGTGAGATGACGACAACAGATCATCACTAGTTTATGCTCTAGGACCAATAAAAAGGCAACAGAAAATGATAATTTGCAATTCTATGAGGAATATGATATACTCTATGGCTGAATATTTGTGTGGAACAGGAAAAGATGACTCTCTGCCAGTCATCTGAATATCTGTCAAATTCTTGAGTAGAATTATCTGTGCTAAGAAAAAAAAGTTACCAGTTAAAATCACACTATTTCTTATATGTTGTTTGCTGCAATATTCATTGTCAGCCTATATATACAGCTATAAAAATCAGTGGACTTATAATAATCTGAAGTCTGAACTGCAATGGACAGAACAGTTTAAAAACCACCACGAGAAAGAAAAGAAACCTCCTGTGATGTTTGGGGGGGAATACTTCAAGAAAAAGATGAAATATCAAGTTACTATGTCCAAAAGATATTGACAGAGCATTTGCTATTTTGCCTCCTTGAATTTGTTTTCAATATTGCAGTCCACAGTTCTGTGTTTTACTTTGGTTGAGTTAGCTTGATACATTCTCTAATCCTTAAAGCTTGTCTAATCCTGGTTTTGTTCAGTTGTGCCAAAATAGCACAGCATTATCCAAATTGCAACGACACCCTCTAATCTAGAAGGAACTCTGTGATAGAATGAGGTCAAAATTACCGAACTAATTAATAAAGAGGTCTGGCTTTATATAACCAAACTCATGTAGAAGATTAGACTGTGATTATTTCTGTTGTTATGTATTTCTCAGTAAGAATCAGAGGTCGATGATAAACATCTGAGACAGTAATTCCCAGTGTCCCAAAGGTAACAGAAGTCCCATCAAGCTAACAGAAAGTTCACCTGTCCAAATCTCTTTTCCAAAATCTTTCCCTCATGATGCCATCCAATCTATCAACAAAACAAGCATTACAGAAAAAAAAAAGGGGCAGAAAAACGTTTAAGTTTCTACTCGGATGAAACAAGTCCCGAAAAAGCACAGATAAAGACAGGGGAAATTATGACATTCGTTATTTCCCTGCAAACCCATGACAGTGACTCATGCAATTGACTGTACCAAGAAAACAATTGTTGGGAGACAACAAGACCATCAATGAAACAAAAACCCAGTAACAAAGCACACAAAGGAGGAGGCTGTGATCTCATAACAGAATCCAGTCCGAAGGAATTTCATGGCTGTAAACATCATGGAACTCGATCTGATTGTGTTGTAGGCTGAAGGAAAGGCTTTAATCCCTACTGCTTCATGAACTCTGTTCAGGCCACTAAGTCATCACTTCGGTGGATTGATGCAACTTTAAAGGAAACAAGGGCTTAATGCTGTTTTTGGCAAATACAGTCATAAATATGAGTCTAAATCCTTGCCAATCCTTGCCTGACTATTCATGTCCTTACACAAATGAGGTGTGTGTGTACCACTGAGAAGCAGAAGTGATCAAAAATACGTTAAGAAATCATCACAAGGTGGAAGTCACATCTATCTATTCATGCAATATACGCGTGTCAGATGTGTGTGCAAAGATGCAAATTCTTTTAACTCAACCTGTTCTGGAATTAACAGACAATTCAGACAACTCCTATAGGAACTTACTTCTTTGCTGCGTCTCCTTCGATTGCATTTTAAGCCAACCTATTGCCCCAGATACTCAACAAATACCATCCACCTTATGGTAACACTGGAGAAAATCAGATGCAAGTAATGAAAGCCATGGTAGAATTTCAAACCCCAAGGAACTACATTTCACAGAAAGGTAGCAAACTGAAGACATATTTCAGAAAAAGCTTCCTGCATCTTGAAGTTTCTAGAGCAGATTGCAATTTTTAATTTTCATCATTTATATGCTGCAGCATAGAATGCAAATAATGCTTTTAGAAGCATTTACCTCTATGGCATGTGTCACAGTACTGATTAGGAATATTTGTCCACCACATGCAGCCCAAATGGTATCTTCCATCACCAGCAGGCTTCTAACAGGCAAAACGCCCAATTTCACTATCTTCTGAGGTTCTGTATTCCACGCTCCATCTTTAATTAAAAAAAAAAAAGTTATACATAACAAAATTGTAATATTTGTTTAAAAATAGTTTTAAAAACATGACATCTTTGTTTATTGTGGCTGACTTAGGAACACCTAGAAAAGCATCAGTAGACAAATCCACAGGCTTTAATGTGAAATTTGTAAACACACAAAGAATAGAAATAACAATACTACTAAGCCTATCATTCAGATCTCTGCAACTTGCTACTTCCAACTATGCTGTTTTTTTTACATGTGTTTAATTTTACCTTCCAGCCTAGGTTTGTAAGGTTAGCATGACCCTAAGGAAAAACACAAATATTCGTATTTGTTAACTGAACAAATTTTATCTGAATAAATCGATAAACAAGGAATCCCACATTGCTGTTTGTATACAATTTCTTTCCTTTCTGGAGGAAATTCAGCCCATGTGGCAATCCATGCAGCAATTTTCTTCCAACTACTGAAGAGCTCATAATTGACCTGTTTCAAAGTAACCTTTCAACCAGGAAAGAATGTGAAAAGTATTAAATTTCCAAATCCAGCGTGCTCAGGTCTTCTATTTTTCCCGTTATAATACGGAGTTTTCTGTGGACTGCATTTGGCAGATCCAAAGTATGTTGTGCCTGCACAGGTTGCAGAATCAGTTCTTCAGATACCTGATGATAAGAAGTCCATGCTGCCCTTACTGCTGGGCTCACTCTCACTTGACAGCTCTTTGAAGGAAGGATAAGCAGTTTCCCCCTAAACTTAACAGTTAACAACAGGAGCTATTTTAAATATTTGTAGTTATGCTTTTTTATATTTTCATTTGATATACTGAACAGAACTGTTTTCATATTAGCTTATTGTACTGCAAGCACTCATTAAACATGAAACACCTACTGTACTTCTGCCCAGGATGATTCAGTAGTAATATCAAAATATGATAATGTTATATTTTTACAGTCAGAGAAAATACATATGAAAAAGACCCCATTTCCTCTATTGAGAGCTTTCTTCCTGCAAAAGCCACAGAGCCCACTGTTCTGATTTATGAGACCATGGTAAGCACACCTTTCATTGAGCACTTATGTAAAATATATTTTTATTTTTCTGTAGCAGTCACTCCCTGCTCAGGTACTAGGAGTACCAAAATTCCTACGTCACAGCAACAGGAGCAACAACAAGGATGGCAGGCTCCAGCTTCTGCTACCTTCTCATGGCTACTGCCACCTGCAATCACATCAGCCTTGCTGAATCATCCCCAGAATGCGACCCCGCTCTGAAAGCATCTTTGTAAAAATGACATCTAGTTCCACACTGTCACACTCATTTTCATGATTTGAGTTTGTAAGGATGAAAACCGTTTCCAGTTATTAGCCTGCAAACTCTCCCAGTGATGTCGAAGTCATTCTATCTGCTTCATGACTCATATGGACCATTAGTAATAAATACACTAGTATGAGTAATTAGTAATTAGTAATAAATAAAAGATTCATTTGTTAGCTACCACATTCTTCTTAAATTTAACTCTCAGGCAAAGACATCCTGTCCCCCCACACACTGTAGGCGCTGGGCATGGTTCAGTGCAAACCCTCAGAAACAGGAGCTGCGCACGTGTGCTTGCCTGCAGCTCTCTCTATAAAATGCACTGATTACAGAAACCAGCCCCTAGCTCATAGCTCCAAGACCATGATTCCATTTCAGGGGTAAAACCAGCACAATTCTAGTACAGTCTTACTGCCTCTTCTGAGCGACAAAGGCTGAGAACTTGGACACAGAGCAAACACGCTTAGCAGAAATTTTCCTCTTTGTATAGTTAACCTTCAGACCAAACAACACACTTCATCTACAGACAAAACTGTTTACTAAAGTCAGCAGCTCCCCTTCTTAAATATATTCAGTAGTCTCTAAATAAAGAATAGGAAACGACAGGTAAGCGGGGATTTCTGGGTCCAACTGCACATTTTGCAATTTAATTTTTGCTTAAATCTCATTTCAGGTCTTTTGTTGGGGAACAAGGTGGGAATCTGTATTTTCATGCCCTTATCTTCTAAATAGCTACTCAGATATTTAAGCACAAAACTTTTTTTAGCAGTTTCGATCAAGTCTTATTTACATTAACTATGAATTGTAACAGCTACTGAGCAAAAGGATAATTGAGCAGTGATGCCAGGCAGATGTTCATTTCGAAATACAAACTCAAAGCAATTTTCTTCCAAGACAGAGTTCAATATTTATCAATTTGCCACAAAATATTTTTCTGTTGCTTCAGAATCCAGTTAGCTTCACAAATTCAGTGGGATTTGACAGATGCAAAAAGGTTAGATGCAGACCTCATGTTCTTCACATTATATGACTTTTTTTTTATGTGCAAGGCAACACCAATCCCCACTTTGACATCAGCACAAGAAAAAAATCACGGGCTAGCTATGTGATAGGGCTATTCTGTAGTCTTTTATTTTACTTTATTTTTTGCAAGCCCTGCTCCCAAGGGAATAGATTTCTGACAGTTTCTGAGACTCTGAACAGAAAAGGGTGAAAAAAGGGACAGGGGGGAAAGCTCTCTAGCCTGGTAATTAGGGCAGTATTTACACCATAGGTCGGCTGCATTGCTCTCATTGCATCGGCGAATGTATAATTAATTATGCCAAGAGGGACAGCATCAGGAGGTTTCACCTCCCTTATTCTCTTGCTGTCCAGGGAGATCTCTGGCGAGCTGGGAAGCAGGGGTACAAATCCTCTCAAGCCAGGAGAAGGATTAAGCTTGGCAATCTAGCATACTTCTGTGAATGCTTTAACCACAATCTGCTGGCTAAAAAGGAGGGTCAGGACTTTTTTGCTGACCAAGAATTTCTTCCTTATAGCCAAATTACTTGGAAAATTTGAGTCTTGTTCATAAATTGTTTCAAGATGGCCCAAACTATACTTTTCAGAAAATGTATCACTGTCTGCCTCCCTTGGAAAATCCCATCAGACACTACTAAAATATCTGCCTGCACTGACTTCATCCTTGATCTTGGCTAATTCCTGTAATCTGATACTAAATTCATCGCTTCTAAAATGGAAATAGTGTTTCTTTCCACTTACATTTTACTTGTCTAGATAGCAGCAGATTCAAGATGTTATGTTCTATATGTTCTGTACATAAATACATAAATAGTAGCAATGAACTTAAATTAGGCAGAGTATTTGTTAGAGATATGCAACAGCTTGATTTTTAGTTATAAAGTACTTGCATGGTTGCTAAATTATTATATTTATTTTTGTGTAATAAGAAAAAGAAACAAGACATAAGGGCCAAAATGAAACTTTTGTCAACAAACACTCGAGGCACACAACGGGACAAAGGCAGGCAAGGAGCCCAGCATGATCCTTTGCAGACTCTCCAAAGCATTTTGTGAAAACCAAATCAACCAAAGAAAAACAAGCAATGGATACATAGAATGGGGCTGCCAGAGAGCTAGCTGGAGAACAACCATAGGACTCTCCATTAGGACTGTGGCCTGTTCTGAAGTTCTGTTTAGCAAAACTGTATTTCTGTTTTTTAAATAAAGCACTATTTTAGCTTTAGGATGTTTTTCTGGAACCCTGAAAAGCCACAGACAATAAATCCATCATTTACTTAGAAGTATGTCACTGTGCGAAATGCAAAGGCAGTGCACACATCCTGTAACAAAAGGTTAGTTCGCTCCCTGAGCAAATACAGCATCAAGGCTGAAAATAGGGAGGAAAACGTGGGAGGACAGATTGGGATTTATTTTCTGCTTTGTGAGAGAAGTCCATACAAGTATTACCAGTATATAAAGATAACTGTGCAGTATATAAAGTTAACTGGGCAAATGTTAGTGGAGTGCTTATCTTAGAGTGACTTATCAAAGCAGATACATCCGTAGTGAGAGTGTATCAAATGGCCAGTGCCTGTGACAGTAGGTGAGAGCCTCTGGCAGTCTGTAACCCTCGCTCTTACCAGGAGGGATTGCACGTGCAGTTATCTGCGGGATGCATCTAAAAAATCTGAGCACGAGGCCAAACACAAAATCAAACATAGGGTCTTCTACATATAACTTCTCGTAACTTCTAATGCTTACATATTAGATGAATGCTTAAAGCACTATTATTTTTAAGCACTATTATTGCTAGGCAATAATACCTGCATTCCATATTTATTCCATATTTATAACATCCTCTGTAACTTGCATCATATGCGCCATAATTTATATTCCAATGCTGAAAAGTATCCTGCAATATTCAAATCGGTCTGCTTTGCTGCATCAAAATTAAAAAAAATGTTTATAAGATGCAACTAAGCTTTTTATGTATAAAGATGTAATTTCCATTACTGCTTTTTGTCATTGCTTTTGCCTTATGATTTTTATGAAGACAATTTTAGAAAACCAGTTTTCCTTCTGTTCACTCAAACCAAATCAATCAGGTGAGAAATGTGTTAAAGCAGCATTTGTTTTATAGGACAAAATATTGGCCATTTTACTTTTCCTGTGTTTTGTTTCCATAGGACCCAATGATGAGAAGAAATACTGTTTTATAATTTGTTGGTGCTCGTATGTCTTTATAGGATA